ATGGGCTGACATTATTTATACAATCATTACAATAATGCAGCAGTCTGCATAACAGTAAATCTTCTATTTTTTTGTGAATAAAAATTCCAAATGGTAAGCAAGAGTAACATGAGAGGGGCCTGTAGCCATGACTAATGAACAGAGAAAATGTTATTTTAGTGCCAGGAATGTCTGCATTGTTTATTCTGGACCCTATTTTGAAATTGGTATCTGTTGAAATTTGTGTGAAATCAGCTAAATTGCCAATTTATGACTAGTTTATTGGGTAGTTGAAATAAGTGAATGGGCGGTTTCTTGTACTCAGTTGACAGACTAGAAGTAAACAAGTTTATTCAGGTATACACAAATAGTTACATAGATTATCATACATAGCAATATATGTATAGAGAACCTAGGATAACCCAAAAAAGTCAGACAAAGTGACTTATTTCCAGTACCTGGCTTTGGCTTGCCATATATGATTTTTGGTAAATATTTTTTTTTTCGGTTGTTTGTTGGGCTATCTCACTGAAACTTGGGCAATGCTTGATGGAAAGATGCTTCTTAACATACAACAAAAATAAAAAAGATGAACGATAAATAAGGGAGTTCACTTCTCAGCCATTAGCCGCCTCTTTGCAGTATATTTTCGTGTGGTTTTTATGGTTGTATTCTCATTTTTTTGGACTCATTTGATAGAATGGAAGATATGTTAAAGAAATAGACATGATTTTGATTGTTTTCATGACGAAAAGTACCTTGAAATTGAGCTCAAAGTAGCGGAAATGTTCGATTTTTGCCGATGTTCAATGAACTTTGTGTAAGTCAAGTTTGTTAATCTTATTAAGTGTATTCTAACATAACCACTCTGTAATCTGGCAAACTCAGTAATCCGGCACACTACAGGTCCCAATGATGCCAGATTTGTGATGGAGGACCTGTATCTGAAACACTGTAGGTGTTAACCGCTGATGCAGAAAAAATGTTTTCTACTCTCATCTGTGAGCCTTGAAAATGTACCCTCATTATACCTATAAGTTACAGAAATTTTTTTTTTAATTTTTAAAAAAATTTTTTAACATGTCGGCCATTTCCCACCGAGGCAGGGTGACCCAAAAAGAAAGAAAAAAACTTTCATCGTCATTCAACGCTTTCACTATCACTCATAGTGATAGTCTCTTTGCAGAGGCGCTCAGATATTACAGTTTAGATATCCCTCCAAGCTGCCAATATCCCAAACCCCTCCTTTAAAGTGCAGGCACTGTACTTCCCACCTCCAGGACTCAAGTCTTGCTAACCGGTTTCCCTGAATCCCTTCACTAAATATTACCCTGCTCACACTCCAACAGCTTGTCAGGTCTCAAAAAAACATTTGTCTCCATTCAATCCTAACACGCTCACGCACGCATGCTGGAAGTCCAAGACCATTGCCCATAAAAGAAAACCTCCTTTACTCCCTCCCTCAAATTTTTCCCAGGACGACCCCTACCCCACCTTCCTTCCACTACCGATTTATGTGCTCTCCAAGTCATTCTACTTTGTTCCATCCTCTTTAAATGACCAAACCACTCAACAACCCCTCTTCAGCCCTCTAATACTTTTAGCAACTCTACACCACCTAATTTCCACACTACGTATTCTATGCAAAATATTGATACCACACATTGCCCTTAGACACAACATATCCACTGCCTCCAGCCTCTTTCTCACTGCAACATTCACAACCCATACTTCACACCCAGAAAAGTGTGTTGGTACCACTATACTCATGTATATTCCATTCTTTACCTCCATGGATAATGTTTTTTGTCTCCACAGATACCTCAATGCATCACTCACCTTTTCTCCTTCATCAATTCTCTGGTTAACCTCGTCCTTCATAAACCCATCTGCTGACAAATCTACTCCCAAATATCTGAACACATTCACTTCTTCCATACTCCCTCCCTTGAAAGTGATATCCAATTTTCCTTTAACTAACTCATTTGATACCTTCATCACCTTACTCTTATCTATGTTCTCTTTCAACTTTCTTTCTTTACACACCCTCCCAAACTCGTCCACTAACCTTTGCAACTTCTCTTTAGAATCTCCCAAAAGCACAGTATCATCAGCAAAATGTAACTGTGTCAACTCCCATTTTGTATTTGATTCCCCATAATTTAATCCCACACCTCTCCCCAACACATTACACATCCCTGTCTAAGGCCTACTTTGACTGGAAAGTAATATCTCTCTCTCCTACAAACCCTAACCTGAGCCTCACTATCCTTAGTAACTTACTACCTATTCCATACACTTTCAAAATCTGCCACATAGGTTCCCATATCCACCCTATCATATACCTTTTCTAAATCCATAAATGCAATGAAAACTTCCTTACCTTTATCTAAATACTGTTAACTAATATGCTTCAATGTAAACACTTGATCTACACATCCCCTACCCATTCTAAAGCCTCCGTGTTCGTCTGTAATCCTGCTCTCTGTTTTACCTCTAATTCTTTCAATAATAACCCTACCATACACTTTACCTGGTATACTCAGTAAACTTATTTCCCTATAATTTTTTACAATCTCTTTCATCCCCCTTCCCTTATATAAAGGAATTATAGATGTTCTCTGGCAATCCCTAGGTACCTTCCCTTCTTTCATATATTTACTGAACAAAAGTACCAACCACTCCAAAAATACATCCCCCCCCCTACTTTTAACATTTCTATCATGATCCCATCAGTGCCAGCCAGCTGCTTTGCCCCCTTTCATTCTACCTAATGCCTCATGCACCTCCCCCATACCTGCATCTGGCTCTACTCCTAAAAAATGTTATACCTCCCTGGCCAATGCATGAAATTACTGCCTCCCTCTCTTCATCAAAATATTCCTGCCATCTTCCCAATACCTGCAACTCCCAATCTACTAACATCCCTATTCTGTTTTTAACTATCAAATCCATTCATTCCATAGGCTTTCTTAACTTATTTATCTCACTCCAAAATTTTTTCTTATTCTCAGCAAAATTTGTTGACAGTGCCTCGCCCACTATCATTTGCTTTTCTTTTTTCACTCCTTCAACACACTCTTCACCTCTCTTTACTCTCTATATACTCCACCATTCTTATATCATTTCTGACTGTAAACACCTCTCCTAAATGACCTTTTTCTCTTTTATCATACCCTTTACCTCATCATTCCACCAATCGCTCCTTTTTCCTCCTGCATCCACCCTCCTATAACCACAAACTTCTGCTCCCCATTCTAACACTGCGTTTTATAACTATCCCACCCCTCTTCAACCCTCCACACTACCTATACTATCATTTGCCCACCTTTCTGCCAACAGTTGTTGATATCTCACCCTAACTTCCTCCTCCCTTAGTTTATAAACTTTCACCTCCCTCTTACTTGCTGTTGCCATTTTCCTTTTGCTCCATCTACCTCTTACTCTAACTGAAGCTACAGCTAAATAATGATCTGATACATCTGCTGCCCCTTTATAAACATGCACATCCTTAAGTCTACCCATCAACCTTTTATTCACCAATACATAATCTAACAAGCAACTTTCATTACGTGCTATATCGTATCTTGTATACTTATTTATCCTCTGTCTTAAAATATGTACTACTTATTACCAAACCTCTTTCTATAAATAGTTCAATTAAAGGCCCCCATTTACATTTTCCCCTGGCACCCCAAACTTACTTACTACTCCCTCCACAACAGTTTTACCCACTTTAACATTTCAGGCCCCCATCACAAGTACTCTCTCACTTGGTTCAAAACTCCCCATGCACTCACTCAACATCTCCCAAAATCTCTCTCTCTCCTCTACACCTCTCTCTTCTCCAGGTGCATAAATACTTACCATAACCCACTATTCACATCCCACCCTTATTTTACTCCCCATAATCCTTGAATTTATACATTTATATTCCCTCTTTTCCTGCCATAACTGACCCTTCAACATTATTGCTACTCCTTCCTTAGCTTTAACTCTATTAGAAACCCCTGACCTAATCCCATTTATTTATCCCCACTAAAATTCTCCTACCCTCTTCAGCTTTGTTTCACTTAGTGCCCAAACATCCAGCTTCTTTTCATTCATAACATCCACAATCATCTCATTCTTATCCACACTACATCCATGCACATTCAAACATCCCAAATTAAACATTTTCTTTTGTTTCTAGTAAGATGTACAGGAAAAGGGGTTACTAACCCATTGCTCCCGGCATTTTTGTTGACTTTTACAACCCGCATGGCTTATAGAGGAAAAATTCTTATTCCCCTTCCTCATGGATATAAAATGAAAAAAATAAGAACTATTAACAAAAACCAAGGAAAACTCAGGTGAGTATGTATACTAAATGTGTATATGAATGTGTGGTGTGACCTAACTGTAAGTAAAGTGTTAATGAGACATAAAAAAGACATCAGCACTCCTACCATCATGTAAAGCAAATATAGGTTTCTGTCTTACATTCATTTGGCAAGACAGTGGTACTTCTCTGGGTGATTGCTACACTAAGTTGAAGATATGTAACACTTATTGGAAAAAACATGTGCTTAACTCGGAAATTTCACACCTTGATCTTGCCAAGAATTTGAAAATACAAAGACAGCCATAAGTAAAGAACAACAGTGTATCCTTAGGCCACATGCTACTAATTAGCTATCAATACTGATGCTGCTAACAATACAGATGAAAACATACCCCATGGGGTACTGCTGAAAAGACATAACCAAAAGAGTTATTACCGAGACAATATTTCACTCTACACGAGTGAAATGTCCCAATAAAAGCTTGTTCTGCAATGTCTGTCTTTTCTCGCCATTTTCCATATTTGATAAAACTAATTTTTCAGATTATGGAGATTTAAATTAAAAATCATTTGCTGCTAGCCTAGCATGCTCAACACCCACCACTATACATCTTAAAAAAAAAGAAAATAAACTTCCTAAAATTATACAATCACAAAAATAATTCAGTCTCTGCTTATTTCTTTAAACTATATTTACCTTGTTTTTTCCTAGGTTGAGTTTCTGAAGGTCCGGGCAGGCGGGTACAAGGCGGACTAAATCGTCAAGGCACTGGATCTTGTTTTGGCTAAGATCAATTTCGTGAACCTGAGGTATGTTCTCAACAATAATATTCACTACCAACTGCATGTTGAGTTGTCGATATAAAGGACAGAAAATGCCTTCTTTTATAAGATCTGTTGGAAAATTGGGATCCATTATATGCTACATATTTTACAAATCTGCAAACAGTAACAAATTTGTGATGGAACTGAAATGTTTGAAGAAAAAATATACAATTTTATGAATAAACAACAATTAAAGAAGTCCAAGAGACAAATGAAAATAAAATAGTAGATGTCATACTATAAAAAAAAAAAGCTTTTACTTTGTGATGACTTCAAAAATTTATATCATAAGTACATACTATAGTATATTATTTTAATTTTTTATGACTATTTTAACAAGAGAATGCTTTCTTAGAAAATAACAGTGACAATATACAAGTAATTCACAGAAGAATGAAACATTAAGTGTATGAATTTAAAGTGAATAAGAAATTATTATATAACATATAATCACCACTAATACAATTGATCATTGCCCCACATTCAAAGTCACCAACATAAATTTTTTTGGTTAACACGTCAGCCGTTTCCCACTGAAGCAGGGTGACCCAAAAAGAAAGAAAAACCTAAAAAGAAAGAAATCCTTTCATCACCATTCAACACTTTCACCATCTCATATATAATCACTGTCTTTACAGAGGCGCTTAGATACGAGAGTTTAGACATCCCTCCAAACTGCCAATATCTTAAACCTCTCCTTTAACCCATAAACGGTTCAACCGGATATATACATTCTCTTGCCCAGTTCTCCAAATATTTTGAACCCAAAAAAATACTTTTTTTAAATAGAAATAGAGAGTACATTTTTCTAAGTTTTCTAGGATAAAAAAATTTTTTAGGGTCAGTACTTACTTTGTTTTTTATAGTATGATAATTATGTTTTATAGTAAATCTTTTGATTTCATTGCCAACTGTTGTTTATACACCAATATTATATACAAAATTATCATACTGTCACAAACACACATGTACACATTGATAGGTGACTTTGCACACCTGGCTGAATCACATTCTATTGTCTACAACTATATACAAATATTTACATGTCCCACTTAGGTTTCTAGAAGTCCACGATTGTATGATACTCCATGAAGCATGGATTCATCCAGAGTGCCACCCCACACTGGTGACATATGAATCATGTGTCCTTCTGCTGTTGGGGTCATTTTGTGGTGGTAGCACACACAACATGCTTTTTCTGGGAATACTTCTTCTTTGGGATAGGTGGTACTGGTACCAGGTAGTGACAGTTAGGGATGATTCGGTCTGGCACTTTCCCCACTGGCTGTGGTTGTGGTTGGGGGACAAGTCGCTGTTGAGGGGCAGGTACAGGTGTGGTACCTCCCTTTTTGCTATCTGTTTTACAACATTCAGGGAGTATTCTGCAAAACGTTGTCATTTTCCAGTCTATATTTCATACATATTGAATGCATTGAGCACTGCAATGTGAGGTGAGGCGAGGTTCTGACCAGAGCTGTGGTGAGATGGGAAAGGAAGAAGGATGGGTAAGGATGCAATGTGTGAAAGGTTAGGGGGGGGGAGAGGGGGGGTTTTAAGGGTAAGTGGCCTAGCCACTTTGGTGCGGTTTGTATGCGTGTGCATGCGTGTTGTGTAATTAGCGGTAAAGTTATGTTTATAGGATAGGTATACCTCCTACCTGTCAGTTGCACACCACTATATCAGGTGTATATTGGTGAGCCACTGATTTGGAAGGATGCATACTGTTTGCAATTGCCTTGGTTTTTTTTTTCACAAGAGGTTGGTCGTAAGGCTGCAGCTGCAGGTGGTAGCTGCAGGTCGTTTGATGGAGGTTGGTTGCTCACCTGGGGTTGGCTGGCTAAGCAGTTTCTGAGGTGGTGTCCTGCTAGAGGATAATTGTAGGTGTTACAAGGTTAGTTGTGAGGTGTTGATTGATAGAAGTGGGTCACCCAGCATTGGGGAGCGTTAGTCCATGTTACTGGACGTAGAATGGTTCTGGTGGTATCCATTCTTCTTCTTCTTCTTCTTCGGGGAGGTTACTTAAGTTTTTTGGTCGAGGAAGTTCTCCTTGTGGATGAAACACTGAACTCTTTGTTGGAGGGTCATTCTTTGGGATCTGGGGGGGGGGGGGTGCTAATGGTGTAGTCAGTCGTGTTTGATGGTTGGGGAGGGTTCTCTCTGTCAGGTACATAGAGTTCCTGCATGTCATATAGTTGTCTCTTCATTAGTTCGTCTAGCTTGACATTGATTGCAGTGATTCTCTGTTGTATGTGCAGGTCTTCGGTCCTGATTCTGTCTTTGAATCTGGTGCCAGTGTTAAAGTGGAGGGCTCTGTTTTGGACTCTGGAGTTTTAGCATGTTGGTTTTGGTTGTTAGCAACATGGGTACACAAGGGTATTCTAGCAGAGGTCTGATTATCATCTTGTACAGGTGTTGTTTGATGTGGGAAGGGGCTGCCTTAAATGAATAAAGTTGGCCAAGGCGGGCTTTTGCTATGTTTACTTTTTTTGGTTATGTGGGATGTAGAGTTGAGTAACCTGTCAATCTCGTATCCTAGGATCTTGTTTGGGTTCCTAATAGCAATTCGGGTGCCTCTGATGGAAATGCCCCCTTTGTCTTCTATGGCTGATGGTAAGCAGCCAATGGTGCTGATGAGGACTTTGTCTGGGTTGGTTGTGATTCTCCATTTCTTCTCCCACCTAGCTGTCCTCCTTAGTTCTTCATTCATTTTCTCTATTGCTCTCCTATGCTTATTTGCACCAGTGGTGGGGGTAGAAGAGACTACATGGATAACATCGTCTGCAAATTGGGTGATGATGGTATTATTGTGTTCAGGCTGGGGGAGGTCGTTGACGAATATGTTGAAGAGTAAAGGGCTGAGGCAAGAGCCTTCGGGTACTCCAGCTGTCGGCGTGAAGGGAGTTGCTTCTGCACCCTGGAAGGTGGGGATGATTCTTCTTCCTGTTAAGAAGTTGTAGATGAGCCTGAGAAAGGTCCAGTTATGGTCAGGGAGGTCTACGAGTGTGAAAATGAGACCGTTGTGCCACAGGCAATGTCTACAAGGTGGAAAAATACTTATATACCACCTGCAACTCCTATGCACCCAGTCAATGAACCCTATCATCATGTCACACTTGTCAACTAGTCGCATACTGTTCGTATAGTCAACGACAACAGCTGGCCTGACAATACGTTCACTGGTGTTCACTTTGTTTGTACCATCTCATTTCTGTGGATGGTTGACAGCAATGTCACGTCCCGTTTGTCATGCCACGTCAGTGCCATGATGTCACTGGCAGGAAACACTTGCACTGCACCTTCAACACTGCCTCCACTGAAGATTGAGACACTTATGCAGCATATGAGAATCTTTATTCAGGAAACATTTCGCCACACAGTGGCTTCATCAGTCCAATACAAAGAGGAAGGCGTAAGGAGAGGAGGAGTATGAGGTAATCAGTTCCTCGGCCTGGAGTCGATGTGTTCAGTCCATCAATCTTGTAGAATGTACAGCATAGGGCCGTAGACGTGGCTTATATACTGTAGTGAGGTGAGGTGAAGCAGGCGGAGGCGGGGTCATAGTGGTACCATCCACTAGTGGAAGTATTGTATTGGACTGATGAAGCCACTGTGTGGCAAAACGTTTCCTGAATAAAGATTCTCATATGCTGCATAAGTGTCTCAATCTTCAACTTGTCGGTTTTTCAAACCATTCATCACCACTGCCTCCAATGAACCTTGGCATATGTTTCCTTCTCACTGTTCCACATATATCAGTATTGTTCACACGTAGGAAATCAGCGAGCATAGGGCTTGTATACCAGTTGTCTGTGTACAATATATGGCCCTTGCCAAGGTATGGCTCCATCATCTTGCAAACATCACCAGAAATGCCCAACATCCATTTGTCATCATCGAGTGTGTTTCTCCCGGTGTAGACAATGACATCCAACACAAGACCACTCTCACAGTCACACAACAAAAAGTTTTATACCAAAGCGATTACATTTGCTCGGTATATATTGCTTGAATGACAGGTGTCCCTTGAACAGTATCAAGGATTCTTCGACAACAATGTTTTTGAAGGCGTGCACGAGTGTGTTCGATAGGAGCGAATGGAGACGAATGGTATTTGGGACCTGACGATCTGTTGTAGTGTGAGCAGGGTAATATTTAGTGAAGGGATTCAGGGAAACCAGTTATTTTTATATAGCCAGACTTGAGTCCTGAAATGGGAAGTACAATGCCTGCACTCTAAAGGAGGGGTTCGGGATATTAGCAGTTTGGAGGGATATGTTGTGTATCTTTATACGTATATGCTTCTAAACTGTTGTGTTTTGAGCACCTCTGCAAAAACAGTGATTATGTGTGAGTGAGGTGAAAGTGTTGAATGATGATGAAAGTATTTTCTTTTTGGGGATTTTCTTTCTTTTTGGGTCACCCTGCCTCGGTGGGAGACAGCCGACTTGTTAAAAAAGAAAAAAAGTATGCACTGAATTTCTGCTTCATATACATAAACACTTCCTGGATTTTGTATAGAAGGTCATTTCTGTTGGGCATATTCCTGTCTGAGAAGTGCAACATTCATAGCAACAGAGTGAATCTGTTGCAGGGAAGGTCACAGAAGACAGGAGTACTGATAAAGTAGTCTGTGGCCCAGTAGTTATGTATATTGTTCTTATAGGTGTGTGGCATAAGCATGACAGTGACAAGGAATAAATACATTTCACCCACTGTTGTATCTTTCCATCTGCGCAGCCGTGACGATTCTGCAACCTCTGTGTTGTCCACGATACAGCGGCAATAACTGTTCGTCTGGGTCGCTATCGAGTTCATTATAAGCTCGTCAAAGTATAAATGGAAAAAGTCAAACTCTGTCGATTCATTCGTTATGGGACATTCTGGGAGGATGCCACTTCCACTCACATCAGAATCAAAAGGCTGTGGCATGAATATACATTGTGTCCAGTTCCACTGATGGTCACATGGTGCAGGGTGGACCTGTTGCATAGGGCATGGGGGAGCAGGAGAAGGGATGGGAGTGGAGGCAGCACATGGTTGAGGGGGTGCCTGCTGGTCCTTTGTCTGTCCACCCACTGCTCCATGTGCTCCAGGCACTGTGCCACCTACCTCCTCTTCCTCCATCCCTGCATATTCTCCTTCATGGTCACTATCAGTGGCCGGGGTTTTGGAGCTTGACTTCCCACAACCCTTGGGGACTGCATATGGCACACTGCCTGAACATAGGCGACTATGCCTAAACGTACGCTTCACTGGTGAATAATGAATATCACTATCACTAGACAAATCCTCGAATGGCATAAAATCAATCTCATCATCACTTACATCACTTTCACTATCACTAAAACACCGGGAAAATGATAGTTTCCTCTTGTGTAGTTGCCTATGGGTAACACTCGCCACTCCAGAGGTGCTTGGCCAAGGATCATCTGTGGCCACCCCAGAAGTGCTAAGCCTAGGGTCTGGTGTGGCCACACTGGCTACCCCAGAGGTGCTTAGCCCAGGGTCTGGTGTTGCCACACCGGCCACCCCAAGAGGAAATTGGCCAAGGGTCATTTGGGTTATCGTCTATATTTTCACAAACTCCTTGATTATTAGTGGCCACATCAGTCTCAAATCCACTAAATTCATGTTCTATATCACTTTCCTCAAATAAGAGTGTTAATACAATGAGGCGTGAGTAAATCATGAGGGTTTGCCATGATGCTGACCCAAGATGGACCTGAATGTAACTGGTGCTACCATGCGGTACCCAGGCATCCCAGATTTTTTTTCATACTGCGCACACTGAGTGCGCAGACCCATTCTCACATGTCTAGGCGACTCAGGCCTATCACACCAATTTTGAAGGAATGAAAAATGAGACGTTGATATACATTCGGAGTGCTAGTGGTAGGAACGTACATATACATTTGGACCGTTTACGGGTTAAAGTGCAGGCACTGTACTTCCCGCTTCCAGGATTCAAGTCCGGCTAACTGGTTTTGCTGAATCCCTTCACAGAATATTACCAGTTAGCCAGACTTAAGTCCTGGAAATGGGAAGAACAATGCCTGCACTTTAAAGGAGGGATTTAGGATATTGGCAGTTGGGAGGGACGTCTAAACTGTTGTATCCGATACACAAATAACCCGCACATGTGCGGGTTATTTGTGTATCGTTCCAGTCATGGTATTGTGCCTTTTTTTGTTATTTACTGTTGTATCTGAGTGCTTCTGCAAAGACAGTGATTATGTATGAGTGATTATGATAAAAAGTGATGTACAATGAAAATCTGTATGATAAACTCTCCAAAATCATGATACAATACAAAAAAAGACTGGAAAGGGAACATAATTTATTATACAGATATACAATTAATAAAATACATATTACTTACTGATATCATTGTGAAAATTATTTAGATTGAGTTGTCTCAGGTCTGGAGTATAGCGCTCACTCATAACACGTTTCAAACAATCATGCTGAAAAGTTGCCCTTATTAGTAAATTAATTTAAATAGTAATATGATTTACCTGCTTATGTACATAAAATACATATCATACCAAATGCCTAGAATTATTTCTTTAATACCTATCACAACAGCTAGTGCCATATTCTTGTCAACAATAACAAAATTTTTTAACACACTGGCCATCTCCCGCCAAGGCAGGGTGACCCAAAAAAGAAGAAACGTTTTCATAAAGTTTTTCTGTTTATATTTAGTATTTATACAGAAGGGGTTACTACCTCCTGGCTCCCGGCATTTTAGTCGCCTCTTATGACATGCATGGCTTACTGAGGAAGGATTCTTCTCCATTTCCCCATGGAGTTGATCAGGCTGTGATCCACCAGGAGGCCTGGTCACAGACCGGGCCGCGGGGGCGTTGACCCCCGGAACTCTCTCCAGATAAACTCCAGGAGAAACAATAATTACACAGCCTCTCCTCACTTAACAACAGAGTTCCGTTTCTAAGACCACATTGTAAAACGAATTCGTCGTTAAGTGTGGAACACACTATAATGGTAGTGGGTTTGTGTCAACCATCTTTGATATTGTTTTAATGTCACCTTTGCACCATTTAATACATTTCTGGTATTTTTTTTAAAAGTTTATACAGTAGTGTACTATATATTGAAATAAACAGAATAGAGGAAATCAGCTCCAATAAACATTATTTATATATAAATACTGGTCAGGGAGCCCGTCGTAAGTCCAAAGTGTTGGTAAACAAGTACGTCGCTAAGTGAGGAGAGGCTGTATATGGTATAATTAAGGGAGGTTTTCATACACTCTTATCCTGATACAGTATTCTTATTCCTGGATGCAGTACACTGCTATACAAAAAATTATGAAATATTAAAAAAAAAAAAATCACTATTTTAGAGCTACTGACAAAAACTAACAATCATTTGAGAAATTCTAAATTAAAAAAAATATTAATTACCATTTGCCAATTTCTTTTTTTTTTTAACAAGTCGGCTGTCTCCCACAGAGGCAGGGTGACCCAAAAAGAAAGAAAATCCCCAAAAAGAAAATACTTTCATCATTCAACACTTTCACCTCACTCTCACATAATCATTGTTTTTGCAAAAGTGCTCAGAATACAACAGTTTAGAAGTATACATGTATATGTATAAAAATACACAATATATCCCTCCAAACTGCCAATATCCCAAACCCCTCCTTTAGAGTACAGGTATTGTACTTCCCATTTCCAGGACTAAAGTCCAGCTATATAAAAATAACCGGTTTCCCTGAATCCCTGCTCACACTCCAACAGATTGTCAGGTCCCAAATACCATTCGTCTCCATTCACTCCTATCGAACACGCTCATGCACGCCTGCTGGAAATCCAAGCCCCTCACCCACAAAATCTCCCTTACCCCTTCCTTCCAACATTTTCGAGGACCACCCCTACCCCGCCTTCCTTCCCCTACAGATTTATACGCTCTCCACGTCATTCTACTTTGATCCATTCTCTCTAAATGACCAAACCACCTCAACAACCCATCTTCAGCCCTCTCACTAATACTTTTATTAACTCCACACCTTCTCCTAATTTCCACACTCCGAATTTTCTGCATAATATTTACACCAAACATTGCCCTTAGACAGGGCATCTCCACTGCCTCCAACTGCCTCCTCACTGCTGCATTCACAACCCAAGCTTCACACCCATGTAAGTGTGTTAGTACTACTATACTTTCAAACATTCCCTTCTTTGCCTCCATAGCTAATGTTTTTTGTCTCCACATATACCTCAACACACCACTCACCTTTTTTCCCCCATCAATTCTATGATTAACCTCATCCTTCATAAATCCATCAGCCAACACGTCAACTCCCAAGTATCTGAAAACATTCACTTCTTCCATACTCCTTCTCCCCAATTTGATATCCAATTTTTCTTTATCTAAATCATTTGATACCCTCATCACCTTACTCTTTTCTATGTTCACTTTCAACTTTCTACCTGTACACACTCCCAAACTCATCCACTAACCTTTGCAATTTTTCTTTAGAATCTCCCATAAGCACAGTATCATCAGCTATAAAAATATTAAACAACCATGGTGATATTACACATCCCTGTCTACGACCTACTTTTACTGGGAAGTAGTCTCCCTCTCTTCTATACACCCTAACCTGAGCCTCACTATCCTCGTAAAAACTCTTTACAGCATTTAGTAACTTACCACCTATTCCATATACTTGCAACATCTGCCACATTTGCTCCTCTATCCACTCTATCATATGCCTTTTCTAAATCCATAAATGCAATAAAAACTTCCCTACCTTTATCTAAATACTGTTCACATATATGCTTCAATGTAAACACTTGATCTATACATCCCCTACCCACTCTGAAACCTCCTTGCTCATCTGCAATCCTACATTCTGTCTTACCTCTAATTCTTTCAATTATAACCCTACCATACACTTTTCCTGGTATACTCAGTAAACTTATTCCTCTATAATTTTTACAATCTCTTTTGTCCTCCTTCCCTTTATATAAAGGGACTATACATGCTCTCTGCCAATCCCTAGGTACCTTCCCCTCTTTCATACATTTATTAAACAAAAATACCAACCACTCCAACACTATATCCCCCCGTTTTTAACATTTCTGTCATGATCCCGTCAGTTCCAGCTGCTTTACCCCCTTTCATTCTACGTAATGCCTTACATCCTGTTCTTCTTCACTCCTAAAAGATGGTAGGTATACCTCCCTGGCCAGTGCATGACATTACCACTTCCCTTTCTTCGTCGACATTTAAAAGTTCATCAAAATATTCTCGCCATCTACCCAAAACCTCCATCTCCTCATCTACTAACTCCCCTACTCTGTTTTTAACTGACAAATCCATTCGTTCTCTAGGCTTTCTTAACTTGTTTAACTCACTCCAAATTTTTTTCTTATTTTCATTAAAATTCCTTGACAGTGCCTCTCCCACTCCATCACCTGCTCTCCTTTTGCACTCTCACCACTTTCGTCACCTTTCTTTTACTCTCCATATACTCTGCTCTTCTTATAACACTTCTGCTTTGTAAAAACCTCTCATAAGCTAACTTTTTCTCTTTTATCACACCCTTTACTTCATCATTCCACCAATCACTCCTCTTTCATCCTGCACCCACCCTCCTATAACCACAAACTTCTGCCCCACATTCTAATACTGCATTTTTAAAACTATTCCAACCCTCTTCAACCCCCCCACTACTCATACTTGCACCAGCCCACCTTTCTGACAATAGTTGCTTATATCTCACCCAAACTTCCTCCTCCCTTAGTTTATACACTTTCACCTCCCTCTTGCTTGTTGTTGCCATTTTCCTCTTTTCCCATCTACCTCTTACTCCAACTGTAGCTACAACTAAATAATGATCCGATATATCAGTTGCCCCTCCATAAACATGTACATCCTGGAGCCTACCCATCAATCTTTTATCCACCAATACATAATCTAACGAACTATTTTCATTATGTGCTATATCATACCTTGTATATTTATTTATCCTCTTTTTCATAAAATATGTATTACTTATTACCAAACCTCTTTCTACACATAGCTCAATTAAAGGCTCCCCATTTTCATTTACCCCTGGCACCCTAAATTTACCTACTACTCCCTCCACAACATTTTTGCCCACTTTAGCATTGAAATCCCCAACCACTATTACTTTCATACTTGGTTCAAAACTCCCCATGCATTCACTCAACATTTCCCAAAATCTCTCTCTCTCTCTCCTCTACACTTCTCTCTTCTCCAGGTGCATATACGCTTACTATAACCCACTTTTCACATCCAACCTTTATTTTACTCCACATAATCCTTGAATTAATACATTAATAGTCCCTCTTTTCCTGCCATAACTTATCCTTCAACATTATTGCTACTCCTCCTGTAGCTCTAACTCTATTTGAAACCCCTGACCTAATCCCATTTATTCCTCTCCACTGAAACTCTTCTACCCCCTTCAGCTTTGTTTCACTTAAAGCCAGGACATCCAGCCTCTTCTCGTTCATAACATCCACAGTCATCTCTTTCTTATCATTTGCACAACATCCATGCACATTCAGACTTCCCACTGTGACAATTTTCTTCTTCTTATTCTTTTTAGTAATTATTACAGGAAAAGGGGTTACTAGCCCACTGTTCCCAGCATTTTAGGTGACTTTTACAACACGCATGGCTTATGGAGGAAAGATTCTTATTCTACTGTATATGAATAATTGATGTTAGTATCATCCACTAAGGAATTAAAACTTCTCGATAATAATTCAAACCTTGGTTATAGAAGAATACACAAATGTAAAAGTGACAAGTCAAAATAAAATTATTTATCACATTGAAACTAATGTGGCTGAAACAATAAAAAATAAGGTGGTGGTGGTTTAAGGCTCTCACTCTATCCTCATATGAGAGATTCCTTATACGGATTAATTTGGTTATCCCTCTCTGTATGTTCTCCAATGCACCCACATCTAGTCCAAAGCATGGAGACCAAAACCTAGCTGCACAATCTAAGTGAGGCCCGCTACCCACACTTCTTGATGCAAATGCAAGCAATCCGCCAGCCTCACTGTGCACACCCAGGCACCACTATCCTGGCATCAGACCTCCACCCACCATGACTCCCAAGTCCCCTTTCACATCCTGTATGTTCCAGATCCACAACACCCAGCTCACATGTATGAAGGCTATTTTCATTCCCAAGAACCAGGACCTTACACTAGTCCACGCTGTACTGCATCTGCCACTTTTCACACCACGACATCAATCAATCCAAATCTTCCTGAATTTCTATGGTATCTCCCTCAGAATCCACCATTCAGCCTATTTGCATGTCATCAATGAACCCACTCATGCTACCTGTCATTCCTTCACCAAAATTTACCAATATAAATTATAAACTACAATGGACTCAAAACTTATCCCTGCAGAACACCACCAGTGACCAACTCCCACTCAAACTTCACCCCACCCATGCAGACTCCTCACCCACACTCGTTAGCCATGCCCTGATCTATGCCAGAACCCCCCCTTCCTTACCAAAAGCTGTCACCCCTCTCATCAGTCCCCCATGAGGCACTCTATCAAAAATTCCACTAAAGTTCAAATAATATGCATCACTCCTTATTGCAGTCCACCGCCTCCAATGCTTTACCAAAGAAGGTCGGTAAATTTGTGAGGCAGGTACACCCTCCAGCAAAGCCACACTGAGTGCCATCAATAAAACTATGCTCACTAAGGTGACCACACACTACATTAGCCCTAAATAATTCCAGCAACCTGCCCACCACTGACATCATTCCCACTAGAGAGTAACCTGATGGAATTGACCTATCCCCCAATTTAAAGACAAGAATCACACCAGCCATCTTCTACATCTATGGCACTACAAAAATCTGGACTATGTGCCAAACAGGCATGTTAGCAGTAAACCAAGTTCCTATTTGTATTCCCTAAGCACCCTTGAAAACAGTTCATTGAGGTTTAGAGACCCATCCTGGTTAGGTTCATTTACCTGCCTGACAACTACATGCCTCAACATGCAACAATACTGAATGTGCTTTCTCAAAGACCTGCACCATCATCAATTGCTGGGACATCATCTGTATCTTCCTGTGTGAAGATTGACAAGAAACAACTATCAAAACTGAAAACCATACTACATCCTACTGCCTTGCCAAGTAAAGCTAACTGAAGCCCATTTTCTAGTCAATATTCTACTGACTTTGCAAGTAGAACTAACTAAAGCTCATTTTCTAGTCAAGAGCATAGGATGGCATATGCAGGTTGTGCAACATTACACAAGACCTACATACTATTAAAATTGCTGTATAGAAGTGTTAAGTATCAGAAGTACAATGTCTTCAATACAAACCTGTTCTGGAGGTACTGGCTTATTTGGAGGCAGCGATCTGTTACTCCAAATGTTGAGCCGAACACCAGAGCTCAGAGTAACTCTTTTGCCTATTTGTACAATGGCCTGAGCAGCACGGCCATTATCTTCTAAATAAAAAACAAGGTTTCTCCCTTCAACTTCATACTGAAATATATGAAAAGTACTATAGTAACATCTTCAATTTGAGAAATTAATTTTTGTGTTGTCTAACTACAGAATAATAAATTCGATTTTACTTCTTTCCTACTTTCCATAGCTCTACAAATTTTCATCATTCTAATATCATTCATCATTCACTCCCGGTATTGTAATATATACATTACTACTCTGTAGGCCTACTGGCCTGCTGCAATTCTTACATCTCTGTCCAGCTCATTGCACCAGTACAGGTATACTGATCAACCCTGTATCATGGTAGACCTACAAAAACCTTCTCTCACTGAGGCAGGGTGACCCAGAAAAGGAAACACATTCACCATCACTCATTTAAACAGCTGTCTTGCCAGATGTGCATTTAATTTTTTTAATCGTCACGAATGTGCATCTACGAATTTATATCTGTGTCTACACTTCAGATACAGAGTTCTTTCAATAAACTCAGTACTAGGTCTACCTACAGTTTACCTGGAGTCTACCTGGAGGGCATTCTGGGGATCAACACCCCTGCAGCCTGGTCCATGACCAGGCTTCCTGGTAGATCAGGGCCTGATCAACTAGGTAACTAAAATATATTATCCAAACTTACATTATATGAGTTACACCTAACTTAATCAGTATTTATAACCCAAGATTAATATTGGATGAAATACACAGGTTGACCCTATATGTGAATTCAAAATTATTTAAAGAACCCTGGCAGACTAGAAATGGACAACAGCCAGGGCCCAGGGGCAAGAGATGAACTTTCTCAAACACAGATAAGATGCACCAATATAAAACCCATATAGCCAACACAGCATAGACATGAATTGTATTTCAAGAAGTGCTAAATCCATGCAGTTCAATCAGCACAAGTAGTTGTGGAGGCTTGATCCTCCACCTGTTAATCATGGCTTTATCTCTGACCAGTCAGGCTGCTGTGTTGCTTAGATATGAAGCTAAACTAGAAGAATACAACTTCACATCACTGTGGAGAAGAACTATAACACAGAAGATACTTAAGATGTTTACATTGAAGAAACAGATTAACATGGGAGGAACAGAAGACTGCATCACAATGAGAACTGAAAGCTTCAATAAGCCAGGACAAAAAATATCTTTATTAACCCGTAAACGGTCCAAACATATATATACGTTTTTACCTCTAGTGCCCCAAACGTATATATATGTTTTATGTGTCATACATTTAACATTGCCATGATAAGCCTGAGTCACCTAGACATGAGAGAATGTGTGTGAGCACTCACTGTGCGCCATATTAAAATAATTGGGGATGCCTGGGTACCATATGCTCCTTTTTCCTATTAAAAACAACAATTTTTTTTTCTCAAAAAAGTTGGGGCAGTACGGTAGTGAACGTATATATACGTTTGGACCGTTTACGGGTTAAGGAATACACCAGAAAGAACAGCAGTGGAAGATTATACCAGACCAATGATGGCTAAAAGATAGGGAAAGGAAAGTACAAATCTAGATGCTGCTGCAATATTTGCATGTAAGGAAACCATAAATGAGAATATTTTTTTTGGTTAAAGCAGTATTTTTAGAACCTTTCCAAAATATCATAATGTAACATATGTTCTCATTTTTGTTATACTGTACTACCAACTTATTTCCTTGGATCATTTATATTTTTGCTTTCTCTTTTAATTATTAAGATATTGTAATTACCCTCTACATCAGGGGTGGAGAACCTGCAGCCTTCTAGCACATTAAGTGCAGCCTTCTGAGTGAATTATTTTTCTTGAAGTTATTATATAAAAATTAACCTCTTACAAAATAGCCAACATTTTGCAGTATAATCAAAATTTCTTGAATGCAGCCTATTAGAATACGTACAGCTAACTTCAATGCAGCCTTCCAGCATAGAAAGATTCCCCACCTCTGCTCTTCATAATAATAGTGTACAGACTGCCTATTCCAACAGCTAAGGAAAAACTTACAAGTATAGGAGTGAACGGCTCATGTACCAAGTTACGTATGGATTCAAGAACTTCATTTTTGTCTAGCTCAATTCCCTCCTGTATCTGAAAATTTTCAAAGAGCAGATTAATGTTTTAAGCTTAAATTTACATTTACTGTACTTAACAAACCAAATTACAAACAATACGTATTTATAAAAATCAAGATATTTGTAGAAATAAAATGATACTAACAAGAATTTTATGCCAACCAAGATTGCTGGTGTTAGCATTCTGAGGTCCTCGGGAACCCTTGAAATCCTTTACCCGGCGTCCTCCTCGGCTTTTATACATATCTTGGCGTCTGCAAAATAAAAGGTAAAATTTTATATAGGTTGAAAATGCTGTAGCGAGGAAGTGGCTGAAGGCAGTGGAGATGTCATGTCTAAGGGCAATGTGTGGTGTAAATATTATGCAGAGAATTCATAGTGTGGAAATTAGGAGGTGTGGAGTTGCTAAAAGTATTAGCCAGTTGGCTGAAGAGGGTCTGTTGAGGTGGTTTGGTTATTTAAGAGAGAATGCAACAAAGTAGAATGACTTGGAGAGTAAATCTACTGGGGAAGGAAGGCGGGATAGGGGTTGTCCCCAAAAAGGTTGGAGGGAGGAGGTAAAGGAGGTTTGGACTATCAGCAAGCGTGTGTGAGCGTGTTAGATAGGAGTGAATGGAGACGAATGGTTTTTGGAACCTGATGAGGTGGGTAATATTTTGTGAGGGGATTCAGTGAAATTGGCTAGCTGGACTCGAGTCCTGGAAATGGGAAGTACAATGCCTGCACTTTAAAGGAGGAATTTAGGATATTAGCAGTTTCGAGAGACATCTAAACTGTCATATCTGAGTTCCTCTGCAAAGACAGTGATTATGTATGAGTGATGGTGAAAGTGTTGAGTGACGATGAAAGATTTTTTTCTTTCTTTTTGGGTCACCCTACTTCGGCAGGAGATGGCTGACATGTTGAAAAAAAAATTAATTTCTTTAATTAAATTTTTTGGGAGAACTGTAATATAGGTAGCAAATTCACAGTAGATCCAGAAACTCAATACTATGAACCAACAAGTGTCACTACTGTGATGAACATGATGAGAGTTGGGTTTTGGCAGGGACTGGCTCAGCCATTAGGGTGGATGTCAGTAGCTATAAGATGCTGACTGGTAATCAACACTTATGTTACTGGCTGTTTTGAGCTAACCCAATCATAAGAGCTTTCTGCCTTATAAAAAGCAGGGAAAAGAAGACCCCAGGAGCCAGTTGCCAATCATCAACCTGTCATCCAGCAGTAAGGAAAAGCCAATGGGAGAGAAGACACCATGTAAATTGACCAGCACACAATGTTATTACACATGGATCCTGCACTACTCCAAGGCAAGGAAAAAGGATACTGGTCATAATTGCTGGTCACTGTTCATAGTTGTCACTTAGCTGGTTGGCCACTGGTTATCCAGGCCATGGCCAGTGGGTGGCCAAGCCACAGACAGTGAAAGCACACAGTAACAGTAGCCAGAGGACAGCCAGTCCCCTACCCCTTGAAGTACAATAGTAGTGTGTTGTGTAGTGATGTCATGACATTTAGCAGTTACATGACAGTGATGCATCATATAGGATTGGCAACATTGTAATGACATTGCATTATGTGAAGCTATAGCAGTGATACAATGACAATCACTATTATAGGTGTCCAGTATATTTTTCATACTCCTTAACTGCTAGTAAATTTATTGAATATGACAATCAACAAAATTTGATCAATGTTCACAGTAAAAAAATAAAATTATAGCACTACAATTTTTCTATTTATTACCTGTTCCTATCTCTATTCATCTTCATTTCAATATCTTCATCCTGATACCGAGGTGCTCGAAGATTTCGTAAACCTCTTCCAGATGGTCGCCTGTCTCCTCGCCAGTGACCCTGTTGATGAAATATTGATAAAAATTAGAATTTATTAGCATATTAAGTACGTAATATAATGCAGTGAATCTGTAGTCTGGAAATTAGGTGGTGGTGTGGGGTTACTAAAAGTATTATCCAGAGGGCTGAGGATGAGTTGTTGAGGTGATTTGGACATTTAGAGAGTATGGAACAAAATAAAATGGCTTGGAGGGTGTGGAAAATACTATATATATTTTCCAGAAATTCAGTATTTATATGTAAATAGATGGCCATACTGTATTTAATAATATTTATGTCATAGAAAACGGAAAGCCTGCGTCTGCGCAGACGAGACTCACCATCTTGGTTTTGAATTTTGTACAAACATGGGTATAATGGGAAGAATTTTTCATGCTCTAGAGGTTAAAATTGTGTTGACACCTCTCAAATAGGAGGCGAAATTGGTGAATGTGCATTCCTGCATAACTTGAGATATCAGACGACTGGACAAGACAGCTCCAGGAACCTCAGATAAGCTCTCTAGATTTGTGTAATTCTGGCCAGCATTATTTTCATAGATTTAGTTAGAGTGAGGTTTTCTGAGTATGATACACATTAATCTCCAGTCAAATTGGTGAGTGATATTAAGATATATTTTCCTTCTGTTATGTAATTGTGTATATATATAACCATTTATTATTTTTAATATACAGTCCACAAATTTATATATTTACCAGCATTCCTGGTGATGTATTTTTCATTTGATAATTAATAGGTCCAGAGCAACTTGTGGTTATGACAGTGGTAGGTAACGAAGGGGGACATTTTTGCGACCTAGGTGTCCCAAATTCCTACTTGTCTATGTAACTCTGATAAATAATAATTATCTTTATCATTTACTGTTATGTACATAACTAGTTACATTCAGATAAATGCAATTTTCCACAGAGGGCATATAAATCTGCAGTGGACGGAAGGCGGGGTAGGGGTCAGCCTAGGAAAGGTTGGAGGGAGGGGTAAAGGAGGTTTAGTGTGCAGGGAGCTTGGACTTCCAGGAAGCGTGTGTGAGCGTGTTAGATAGGAGCGAGTGGAGACAAATGTTTTTTTTGACTTGACATGCAGTTGAAGTGGGAACAAAGTAACACTTATGAAGGGATTCAGGAAAACTGACAAGCTGGACTTGGAAGCAGGGCCGGATTACCGCATAGGCAAACTAGGCATTTGCCTATGGCCCCGCGCATTTGGGGGCCCCGCGGTCCAAGGGGTTCAGGGGCTCATCCAAGACTGCGCACATGGTGCAAGTGCAAAGGGGTCCCTACCTCAAAAGTTCAAGTGTTTGGAGAGTAAAATTGATTTTTAAAAATTAATCAAAATAAAAATAAATAATGAAATAAAATAAAATAAAAATAAATAAACCTAACCATAGATGGCAACACTCAACACGCCTTTGTTTACATCAGAACAGCTGTGTTTTCCCGCTAATGGGTGAGTATGGGAGATTCCTCTCCAATTTTCTGTAGTAATTACACGTTATCTAGACTTGTACTGTGACAAATTAACTGAAGTGTTGTTGATAGACATTGATGTGTATGGATAAATGTTTGTTTTTGCCTCTAAATGTTAAGGGATGAAGCTTTTGAAATGTTTGAAGAGAAAGCTAAACTGCTGGTGAAAGACTACAGTTACCGGGCTGATCATCAGCGGTCAAGGAAGAGGAAACGCAATTTTGAAGAGCCAGACAATGAAATTGTGTTGCTACCAAGGCAGAAATGTAAGACAGCTACATACTTCGTCATTCTGGATTCACTGATTACAGAATTGGTGAAAAGAAAAGAAATCTACCAGAATCTCAATGACAAGTTTGGATTTCTGTTCAAAATTACTACTATGCCAGATGCAGAATTGAGAGAAGCTGCATTAAAGTTGCAACAACACCTTTCAGCAGATGTTCAGGACACATTTGTTGAAGAAATAGTTCATTTTTCTGGGTATATGAATCAGATTAAAGCTCCACCTGAAAAATGTGTGCCCTCAGCTGCTTTGAAACATTTAAGAAATGCAGGTATCTCAGAAACCTTCCCTAATGTTGACATAGTGTATCGCCTTTACCTAACACTTCCAGCTACTAACTGTGAAGGAGAACGTTCATTTTCTGTTTTGAAAAGAGTGAAAAACCAGCTCCGTTCAACAATGAGCCAAGACAAATTGTGTAACCTAGCCTTGTTGACCATTGAGTCTGATCTAACAAGAAATATTGATTTTCAGAATATAATTGATGATTTTGCCAATATGAAATCCAGAAAAAAGTTTATTTAAGAAGTGCCTGTGAATATAAACAATTCTTTACTTTCTTGAGTTTATATGATTTGATAGTCTTATGCATGATGCAATGATAACAATAATGGTCAGTGATTTATAAAGGGAATAATAGTGCTGTAGTGGTTATGCTGAATATAATAGGTACATGATGTCACTACTTTAATAGCCTAATCTAGTAATACTATGCTGTCTTGAGTTTATTCTCTTTAAAATGCATGATTTAACAAGATAGTTATAATAGCTGTTGGTAAATGGTTTTGGTTGTCTTGATGTACTTTCCCTATTAAATTTAATCTAAATAGCCAGAATGTATTTAATTAGACCTTAAACAGGCTCACACCGACCCCCCCCCCCACCCCCAAGCTGGAAGGGGTCGCTTCGCTTACCCGTAACTCAAAGGGGCCCCGCCAATCTGAATAGCCTAGGGCCCAGAGACTTCTTAATCTGGCCCTGCTTAGAAAGAGGGAAGTACAGTGGACCCCCGTATAACAATCAGCTCCCAACTAGACCAATTATGTAAGTGTCTTTTTGTAAGTGCTTTTGTAGGTGTATTTTTGGGGGTCTGAAACGGACTAATCTAATTCACAATATCTCTTATGGGAACAAATTCGGTCTATAACGGCACCCAAACAGACTTCTGGATTGAAATAATATCGTTATCCGGGGGTCCACTGTACAGTGCTTGTGCTCTGAAGGAGGAGTGTTGACGCTGCAGTTTTTTTTAACTATAGTGTAGTCATGCCTCAGGCAAGACAATGATAGTGTGAATGATGAGGAAAGTGTTTCTTCTTTTTCAAGTCACCCTGCTTTTGTGGGAAACGGCCAATGTGTTAATAAAAAAAATTAAGTATAACAGTGCAGTGGAACCTCAGCTTTCAAACTTAATTGGTTCCAGAAGGCCGTTCAAGTGCCTATCTGTTCGAGTACAGAACAAATTTTTCCCAACCGATTTTCTTTTTGGTTGGCTGCTATCACTAACCTTCTTAGTGGTGATTTATTTATACAATATAAAAAAACACCACATAGGTAGTAGGTGGGTAGACAGCAACCGCCCAGGGAGGTACTACCGTCCTGCCAAGTGAGTGTAAAACGAAAGCCTGTAATTGTTTTACAAAATGGTAGGATTGCTGGTGTCCTTTTTTCTGTCTCATGAACATGCAAGATTTCAGGTATGTCTTGCTACTTCTACTTACACTTAGGTCACACTACACATACATGTACAAGCACATATATACACACCCCTCTGGGTTTTCTTCTATTTTCTTACTAGTTCCCATGGGGAAGTGGAACAGAATTCTTCCTCCGTAAGCCATGCATGTTGTAAGAGGCAACTAAAATGCCGGGAGCAAGGGGCTAGTAACCTCTTCTCCTGTATATATATTACTAAATGTAAAGGGAGAAACTTTCGTTTTTCCTTTTGGGCCACCCCGCCTCGGTGGGATACGGCCGGTGTGTTGAAAGAAGAAAAAAACACCAAAAAATGCGAAGAAATACAAAATATGTTTGTTTGGTTGAGTGCTAAGCAAACAATCGACTACATAAGAACATGAGAAAGAAGGAACACTGCAACAGGCCTACTGACCCATGCGGAGCAGGTCCATGTCCCCCCCCCCTGTGGTTTAGCCCAGTGACCCCCCCCCAGATTAGCAAAATGACCCCACCTCCCCCCAGATTAGCCCAATGACCCACCCAGTCTGGTCACCTCCACTCAAGGAAGGAGCACGGCACCAGACCCAGCAGCACAAGCTAGTCAGGTTCAACTCACACCTGCCCACACCCACTCGTGTACAGTATTTATCTAACCTATTTTTAAAACTACACAACATTTTAGCCTGAATAACTGTACTCGGGAATTTGTTCCACTCATCCACAACCCTATTACCAAGCCAGTGCTTTCCTATATCCTTCCTGAATCTGAATTTTTCCGACTTGAAATCACTGCTGCGAGTCCTGTCTTGGCTGGAAATTTTCAGCACGCTATTTACATCCCCTTTATTTATTCCTTTTTCCATTTATACACCTCGATCATATCCCCCCTAATTCTACGCCTTTCTAGAGAATGCAGATTCAGGGCCCTCAGTCTATCCTCATAGGGAAGATTTCTGATACATGGGATCATCTTTGTCATCCTCCACTGTACATTTTCCAGAGCATTTATATCCATTCTGTAATATGGTGACCAGAACTGAGCAGCATAGTCCAAATGAGGCCTAACTAAGGATATATAGAGTTGAAGAACAACCTGAGGACTTCTATTATTTACACTTCTAGATATGAAGCCAAGAATTCTGTTAGCTTTATTGCGAACACTAATGCACTGTTGTCTTGGTTTTAGATTACTGCTAACCAGAACTCCTAAATCCTTTTTGCAATCAGTAGTATTAAGATCTATATTTTTTAGTTTATATGTGGCATGGTTATTTAACTGTCCAACATTTAGAACTTTGCATTTGTCAATATTAAACTGCATCTGCCACTTCTCCAACCATTGCATCAGTCTATTTAAATCATCCTGGAGTGCTCTAGTGTCCTCATTAGAATGAATTGGACGGCCTATTTTGGTGTCATCAGCAAATTTGCTTATGTCGCTATTTATTCCCTTATCTATGTCGTTTATGTAAATTGTGAACAACAACGGGCCCAACACTGACCCCTGAGGAACACCGCTTGTGACGTGCCCCCATTCTGATTTCTCCCCATTTATGCAAACTCTCTGCTGCCTATTTGTCAACCATGCCTCTACCTAGGAAAAAATTTCTCCTCCTATTCCGTGAGCCTTAAGTTTCCTCAATAGCCTCTGGTGTGGAACTATCAAAAGCCTTACTGAAGTCCATATACACAATATCATATTCATTACCATGATCTACCTCCTCAAACACCTTAGTGATTTGTTTACTGAACAAAGCGTTTTAAACTGAATTGTTTGAGTATGGAGTTGTTTGAGTACTGAGGTTCCACTGTACAGTATTATGGAATAAAGTTGGAAAAATTAAAAAAAAAATTGGCATGGGGTATATTAACCATAGTTTTTTAGGAAAATCTATAAATAATACTATAAAAATAAGAATTACATTATTAGAATTTAATGATAGCTTGTATATACTGTTTTCATACCTAAAAAAAAAAGAAAGCCAAGATGAATTAGGAAAGGGCCAAAGAAGAGCTACAAAATGGTTACGGAGTTAAAATTATGAACTTTGATGAAGGCTGTAAACACTAAGGATACTCATACTGCCTGATAGGAGTTAGAGAGAAGACATAATAATCACATATAAGGTCATAAAAGGATATGAAAGACAAGATAGAACATTTTTTCACAACTGCAACAGAGATAACAAGAGTCCACAGTTGTAAACTGAGAAAAAAAGTGGGGCTAAAGGGATACTAGAATATTTTTTTCACAGAATGGCAGACCAATGGAATAAATCAAGAAGAGGATGTAGTAAAGTCTAAAATCACTGGAAATTTTAAAAAATTATATATAATGAACATATTACCTATGACAAAACATGAACCTAGTTCTGCTAATGTAGCTATAAGCCCTTGAAAATATATAATTACACAAAAACAATGTAATTCCTTGGTTCAGGGATTAATCTATGCTACAACTGCAATCAACAAGGCTGCCTACACCCGTCGTGAAAGAGTGAACAAAGAACTTAACTGAGTCGAATGCCACCACTACATTTTTGAAGTGATGCTGTCATCTGCTGCACTTGGAGTAACCAGTGAGCCTGAGGCAGGGCTCTTCCAAAATAAGTGGCCCCTACATCAGTAACAAGAAGTTCACCTCTGCTGGTAATGAACCGTTTGTTTGTCAGCATGCTGGAGAGCCTGCAGCAAGTGATGACATCATTCTGAGGACACCATCAAGACCCAGGCCCTGTGAGAAGACTGCAGAGAGCTACTTCACCTCTGTCACTTTTCCCCCAGGAGGATCCTCTACTGATGAGCCACATTTCCTTACTGCAGGCGCAATGCACTACTCGTAATGGATATCGAAGGCCATTTGTTTGTTAAAGATCCAGCTCTTCCAGTTCAAGGTTCAAAAGAAACTGACAGAACATGAAACATGGCATAACAGCAGGCTGCCTCTTTGTCTCTATCTATACTCATTACTAGGATAAGGTTTCCCTACAGAGAGAGTGCTACTCAATTACTTGAGTCTTCTCACTTTCCTCCATATGTACCCTGAGCACAAAATCAGGGAGGCAGCCATTAAGGTGTTTTGTCAGCATTTATGTTATTTCTCAGAATAAATAACACAACTTGCCCTCCTTGATGGTTGTTTAGCTGAAACTAAACAGGCCACAGTCAACAACTTCTCACATCCCCCAACTCCGCGCTGACAGATGAGACTCAGTAGCAATGCTGGTTGCAGCTCGTCAACAGGTTGTACATGCACAATACAACCCCCTACTGATTTATTACATCCAGATGATTAAAATAATAATATTAATGCCACATTTACAACTTGCAACTTAATTCCTACAGAATCATTTATTAAACTATTAGAATTTACGTGAGATCATTTTCAGAAATACAAACTACTCGTGAGCTTAGAAAAATTCAGCTGGGAGTTAATGTTACCTCTGGCAGTCGTGTACTCCTGTCATTGCCATAATCACCATCCCATACTCTCCCTCTGAATTTTCCACTATTTCTGTAGAAATCTCTGGAGTTGGCTCTGCCTCTGGCACCACCACCATTTGTTCTTTCACTGCTGCCACTACCTCTGTAGGTACAACCTCGATCATCATGTTCTGAAAAGATTCTCTCTCATTATTCTTCTTGAATTGTCTGCTCTGCATACATTTTTTTTTTTTTAATTCTCATACTACAAAAAAATTCTTCTCGTATTAAGTATTTTAAAAGTAACCAGTTCAAATATCCCACACTTTTGAGAGGAAACAAGATGTTTCAGTCCTTCCAGAAGCATTATTCAATTCCAGCAGAGCAAGAAAACAGAAACCTGTCATCTGATTTTCTCACCGTCTCACTCAGTTGTGACAGACCAAAACACCGTCTACATTTTTCTCCCAACAGTGTGAGTTATTGAACTATTCCAGCTATGGTATTATCATTTATACTCTTCACTTTCCTTGGCTTATTCTTGATACAGAGAAAAAAACTGCCCACTAAAAGTGGTATTATTTATGTAGTAACACATTTTGAAAATAAAGATAGTGTAAAGAAACCAGGTACAAATGGAAGAGCTTATATAAAGTTGTAATGTTTATCTATCCATGTTCATGGACTACCACACCCAGACACATATTACAAAACTACTAAAAACAGTGTAAATTCCAACTTACAGTGGAAAAAGTCACAAAAACTGTATATGTATTAAATATGAATTCTGCCACTACAGGTTTTTTCCTGTGCACCATAAGAGGTTAGCTCGTGCACCACCAAGGGCGCATGCACGTACAGTTTAAAAACCACTAATAAAGAGTTTAATCATACCAAATGTAAAAGACTTGGCAGTCATAATAAACACAAATCTGAAGCTAAGACTGCATTGCCTAAGCATGCAAAATAAATCTAACAAACTATACTTGGATTTATGTCAATAGATATAGGTAACAGGAATCCAATGGTTATTCTACAACTCAACATTATTTGTAAGGCCTCACATTGTGAGTCAACTATGGTGTCCATACTAGAGAATGTACATATAACAAACTTTCTTATAATGCTAAACTACATAAAGCACTTTTGTTTAAAATGGGATTGAATAAATGAATCCTTATTTTGTACAGCTCTCAAAAAAAAAAAAAACTTGATATAATACGTTTGGTAAGCAAGGAAGCATCAAATTGTGCACAAAATCTTAGGAGTCCAAGCTGGGGATTTCCCCAACCTAAATTGTGCCTATGTGTAGAATATTTGGAGAGGCACAAGTCCTTCCCTCACTCATGTAACCAATAGTGGCTTTCTGGGAGTGTTCGGTGCTTTACTCAATGTGTTTAGCTAAAGATTTTGAGTTTTTTCATCGCCCCATCTTGTTTCTGGATATTAATCATAGCACCCAAAAGATAGTGAAGGTACCAAGAAAAAACAAACATGAATCTCTAATGGCATTAACCCTTAAACAGTCCAAACATATATACGGTATACGTTCACTTGCGCAGCGCCCCGAATATTTTGAAAAAAAAAAAAAAAAAAAAAAAAAAAAATTATAGAAAAAAAAGAGCACAGTTTTTTAAGTATTATAGAATAAAAAAAAAAACTTTTAGGGTCAGTACTTACCAAGATATGAGGCCGTGAAGCTGGCACTTGCGATAACCTGACGGCAACATGGAGCACTGCCGCTTGCAGAAATTCTACATATT